GGAGGCCGGGACGGGGCACGGCGTGCCGGCGTGCGGGCCAGGCTCCCGGGAGCCCAGGGCGGCCGTCTGTTTCCACACTGTTCTCTTCTCCTTTGAACAGACGGCCGACGCCAGTGTCAGTGGGTGGGGGAGGGACAGAGGGACAGAGGGACAGAGGACGGTGTTACCTGAGGTGCTAAGACCCAGAAAAGGTTACAGGTGTTTCCCGGGAGGACGGGGGTCGAAACAGGGGCCCCGGGCACAGACCTTCAGACAGCTCCGTGTCCCGCCTCGGTGCGAGGGGACCGGCCAGCCTGGCCACGCTCGGGCCTACTGGCCCCCGGCCGCCCGTCGGCCTGATGGACCGTTTGCCTCTCACTCTGCCGACGCATAACTACGCCGGCGGCAGCCCCGTTTCTGCTCGTTCTGCTGATGCACACCACCCCCCGCCGCCAGCCCCCGGTTTGCTGGGCGGCAGCAACTTCCCTTCCCCAGGCTCCTGCCGACCACAGGACCAGATGGCTTCTGCTCCGAGTCCCCTGGCCACCTCCGTGCAGAACAGCGGCCACCGTCACGGCTGTGAGCACATCAGGCTTGGAGCCGGCGGCTGGGCCCAGACTGGGCGCTCACATGAGGGGCCCGAGTACAGCACACGCGTCCCCAGCTGCTGTGCCCGAAGCCTCACAGGCCCGTGAGCGTTTCCCGCGGGGCGTAAGTCCCTCCGTCCTGGGCGTGGGGCGTGCGCGGCATTCGCGGCCCGTCCCTCACAGGCCCCGCGCACCCCCTGCCCGCGCCGTGTATTCCCGTTGACACACGTCGCCCAGCGGGAAACACGCTACCTGGCGGCTACGTGGACCAGCGCCCTGAGCCGGCCGCGAGGGAAGCTGAGGCGGCGGCTTCTGTTTGCCTTTCGTCTCGAGTAATTCAGTGTTGGTTCAACACTAAAGTCCTGTTCCTGTGACACTGTGTCAAACGGTCGCGTTTTGAATCCTCTGTGATGGCCAGTCGGTCGCGGGCCTAACACCGGGCCGGGCACAGCCCTGAGCCCCTCCCCGCACCTCACCCCCACCCCGCGAGTCCAAGGCCCGGGTTTGGGCTCGTTCTCAGCCCCGTTCAGGAGTCGGTGCTCGTCCGTGGGACTCTAGTGGCGTCACCGGGCACGTCCTCCCCGTGGGGACGCCCCTCAGTGTCGTCACCACCATCACCGCCGTCCTGGAGTCCGAGCCCCTCGCTTGGGGACATTCACTGGCTGTGGTGGGCTCGGCTCTGCTCCCCAGGAATGCACACTCCCCCCCACTGAGCAGCGGGCGACAGTGGGTGGAGGCTGTGGGAACGGAACGCAGCCCCCTGAGCCGCGGGTGGCACTCGGCCCGCGCGTCCCCAGCACGGGAGGTGACAGGAGTGTCCCGCACGGGCTGCCCTGCGCCTGGCGCCCCGGGCCGGGCAGAGATGCAGACCAGGCTGGACGAGCCGGAGGCGGCCGTGCAGCTGCGAGCTCCAGGACCGGGCGCCCCCGCCAGAGCCCCACAGCGCCATTGAAGTGCTATTTTCCTCCTGAAGACACACAAACAGATGCAAACTTCTGTAAACACTTTAGAAATGAATTCAGTGAGTTTGGCCTCTCGGCCGCGCTCGATAGCCGACAGAAAAATGTCTAATTAGTGCAAGTGGGGATAATAGGGCCACTTGGAACCCTTCCGCCCCCCTCCCAGCCTACTTTCCAAGGGCCTCAAAGGGCCTTTGTCTGGCGGGTCACCCTCTCAGGCTTTTGTGCTCCACGTTAAGAGGGCGGGGGAGGGGCGGGGGAGCGGGCGCCGGCCTCGCCCAGATGCAGGGGGCG